CGCCTCAGCCAGAGGCGGGACATTTCTCGCCCGCCCACGCAGCTTCGCCTCGCCCGCACGCACGGCACGCACGAACACGAAACCGAAACGGATTTCCCGGTAGTGGGGTTCTCCATTCCACTTCGATCTCACCCCATCACCTCCGATACATATACATACATATATATGTATATATATATATACATGTATATATATACACGCGGAATGTGGGACAAGAGGAAGTTTATATCTTACATCCTAGCTTTGTCTACGACCAGATACGGTGGGTCGATGCCAACACAATTGCAATGTAGTGCCTCACAAAGGCTGTGCCTTGTGATAGGGTGCATGCATGCATGTAAGTATGTGTGTATGACTATGTATGTATGCATGCATGGATGGGTGGATGGATGCATGCGTACATGCATGCATGCGTACACGCATGTATATGTATAGTTAGATGTATAGGTATAGGTATAGGTAGATGAATATGTATACGTAGATGTATATGTGTACGTATATATGTGCACATCTATATGGATATATATATATATATATATATAGATCTAGAGGCATAGAGAGAGAGAGAGAAACAGAGAGAGAGAGAGAGAGAAAAAGACAGAGAGAGAGAGAGAGAGAGACCGGGGTACAGGGTCGGGGGCTCCGTGCCAGCTGCCCCAAGTCCTAAGTCGCCAAAGACGCGTCGGAACCCCGAGACCCCACGGTCGGCGGCCCGCTGTCAGCTGCCTTGACTCGCCATGGGCGCGCTGGGCCTCCGGGAACCTTGCCTCGGATGCTCCCAGCCCCCGAGAAAGCTCCAGAGCCCTCCAAAAGAGCCTCAGACCGCCCAAGACGGTTCCAAGATGGCATCAGATGGCTTCGAGACAGTCCAAAAGGGCCCCATGACGGTCCAAGAGGTTATGGAGGGGTCTCCCGAGAGGGTTTCAGGAAGCCAGATATCACGACGTCCTTGGTTTTTGACGGTTTTGGGGGCTTTCGCCTGTTCGGATTACCGACGGCCCACGACTGCCCCTGAGGCATAACAGATCGCCCCAGGACGGCCGAAGAGGACCCCAAGTCGGTCGAAGAGGGCCCCAAGACTGCCCGAGAAGGTCCGCCGTAGCCCGTTTGGCTCAAGGATCTCTCGTATTGGGCCACTGAGCGAACACACGCTGCACGTCAAGTCTGAAGAGCACGTTCTGCTGCCTTACCACTCGAGGTCTCTACCTTGCAACTTGCAATGGTGCAGCACACGTTTTTGACGGCCATTGCCCAACGCGATCAGTTTTTGTACTTGCTTGTGTTCGCATCTTTGGCCGTCTTTGTCAGCCTGGTGCCAGGCCTTGCTTCGACGACCGCTTGGTTGATCCTTGCCATTCGCCAGGCCATGATACAGTCGCAGGGCGAAGCCCTCCTATTCTTTTCTCTATCCCTCGTCTACTTCGCCAGTTTCGCCGCCGCCAGACCCTGGTCGATGTGCGCTGGGCCCGTTCCAAAGGTCATGGGCCAGAGATCCCCTGGCGCTGGCCCCCCGTGCAGGATCACGGCGGAGCCCACGAGAACCAGCGCCGCGAAGATCACTCAGGCGTCCGCCAAGACACTCGAGCAGCGGGACGCGGACGCGCACCTGATCAAGACAACCGACAGGGAGCGCCTGCCCTCCGATGCCTCGACGTTCTCGAGGCTAGTTGGTGCATGCGCCAGGCTGGGCAACGCTGATCTGACGCTGGATCTGTTCGACCACATGTTGAAGAATGGAGTCGGCTGCGACTGTCGGTCGATAAACAGTGGCACCGCCGGCAAGTTCTTCAAGCTCGTGGCGCAGAACTTGGACGACAAGCGCCTGCAAAGAGACGGGATTCAGCTCATGCGGGCGGCCATGGCTCTTGGTATCTCGCCCTCCAGCCACGTCCAGAATCAGGTCATTCGCTCATGGAGGAGCAAACTTCCTGACCACGTCGTGGAGGCCTTCTTGGGCCTGCGAGAGGAAGGCATGCACTTCTGCGCGACCGCGTACCGCTGCATCATGGCCGCGCACGAGCGGACCGAGCCAGTGTTCACGCTGCAACTCTACGATGAGGCGGTGGAGCTGGGTGTCAAGATCGACCGCGTGGCGTTCAACGCAGTGCTGTGCGCCTGCTCACGCCTCGGCATGACGAAACAGGCCTTGGAGCTATTCGAGCGGATGCCCGAGCTCGGGCTGGTCCCGAATGGGAAGACCTACGGCTCTCTCATCAGGGCCTGCACCGGCGGCAGGAAGATCAAGCAGGCGTTTGAGCTCTTCGAGTCGATGCGGGCGGCTAGCATCGAACCCAACCGCTTCACCTTCCGCGACGCCATCCACTGCTGCGTTAAGCTGGGGAAACTCGACGAGGCCTACGATCTTTACAGGGAGATGGCTGCGGCTGACGAAGTCTCTTGCAGCAGCACGCGTATTCGCATCTTGGATGCATGCCGTGAGAGCGTCCGCCTGTCAGTCGCAGATCGCATCCAGGCAGACATTGGGCCCATGGGGCTGGAGGATGCGATTTGAGTTGAGGATGTCGACGTTTCCACGCGCGCCATCTGCTAAGATACCGGGTAGGCATTGCGTCTTCACATCGCCGTTGCAGGCTACGCCGCTCCTGTTGTTTGAGAATTTGCTCAGAGGAAATAGGTCTCGGTGAGTCAGCAGCTGTCACCTGATTCTAATGCTTCTGCAAATGGCATGGCCTCTTATGTGGTGTGCGAAGTGGGTATTTCCTCACCACTTCATTTTTGCTTGCTTCTTGCATCCACTCCATGTCTCCCATCCCATACAGGTCGTGTTGCTGCAACTCCGGACTGTCTTTGTTGGAAGTCCCTCCGCGTACATCTGCTCGGAGCAGCAGCTGGCCCAACATGGCGTGTCACACTCGCCGTTTGGTCCATGATTTGTGGGTGCGCGCCCACATGAAACTTACTGTCGCATGTCCATGGCCAGGCCATTCTGCCCAGGAGGAGGCCGCCCGCGCGACCGCGCGACAGGACGCTGCAGCGATGCCACCTTTTCCCCTGCAGCGGCATTCGCATCTGCCGCCGTGAGCCGGGCGTGGCACGGCGCTGAAGCAGCAGCGTAATCGCGCGGGGGCGACGCGGAACCAGCGACGGGTTGTTGCGGGTTCCACACCTTTCGCGTTGGATCGTCCACGGAGACTTTCGCGGATCCACACCTTGAAACGCATCAGTTAGATCTATTTCGATCTATTCGGGTTTCGGGTGTAAAGCCCGTTCTGGTAGAGTTTCAACCCTGTGTGCTTTTGTGTAGATGTGTGCTGATCTCATCCTGGCTCACTCGCACCAACTTAAACCACTCGTTCATACCTGGACGCGCTCATCCTACGCAGTACCCGTTTATTATCAGAGGCCCACGTACTTAGATTCGCATATTTGGGTTTTGTTGATGGCCTGCGCCAGCAGGACGTCACTATGTTCACCCTGTGGCGTCATTACGACCCCGAGATCTTGTTTCGCCGTAGGGCCTACCTCGCGCCACTGGTTCGCGCGCTTGCGTTGCTTGTTTGAGGTGGTTCTCCATCCTCCCTTTTCTCCTTCATTCCTCCTCCCCTCCTGCCACAGCAGCAAGCTCCTCAGCCGATGCTTATTATATATGTTGCATGTGTAGTCATCACGAGACTTGTGGTTTCAGCCACCCAAGATTTCACATGCGGCACGCTCTGCTTCTCTTCTGAACCCCGTTTACCGAAACGCGCGCGCACTTGTCTGTTGCAGGTACGTTCATTTGGCGTTCTTCCCACTACTGGGGCCCCGGGCTACTGTTCTCTTCTCGTAGCCCGCTTATGGACCTCGATCTGCACGCCAGAGGAGCTTTATTCGATGCTCAGCATCACTTCTGAGGCACCTCTTTACGATTGCACGGTGTATGAGACTAATGAGCTGTGTGGTTGCACGCTCGCTTTACCGAGATCGTCCTTTGGAGATGTCCGTTCCCTTGTGCCCCTCAGACCCCCCCAAACAAGACTGCCCGAGAGGGCCCCCCAAAAGAGCCCCAGGACGGCCCAGGGCGGCCCCAAGATGCCCCCAAGAGAGCCCAAAGCGGACCCCAAGGCATCCCAAGGGAACCCAAAGACTGCCAGCGCCCCCCCAAGACGACTCAGAAGATGGTGAGCCTGTTTTCCACCTACACCACCAGAAGTTGGAGGGGGGAAGGAGGAGGACCAGGAGGAGGAGGAAGAGGAGGAGAAGGAGGACGAGGAGGAGGAGGAGGAGGAGGAGGAGGAGGAGGACCCCCTCCCCCTCCAACTTGTGGTGGTGGTGGTGGGAAACAGGCCCATCAGAACAGCCCCAGGACGGCCTGAGAGGACCTCCGTCCTCGCCTCGGCGCCCAGGCCCGGCTGCTCCTGCGCAGGACGACGTCGGGCCGAACCTCCCGTGGGTCGGGGGCGGCAAAGAGGTGGGTGATGACTACGGGGGGCGGACATCGTGGCGTGGGCCATGATATTTTTCCCCAGATCTCATGGCGCTTCTTCTTATTCCATGACGTCCCTGCCCCCCCCCCCGGGCCGCGCACATGCCGCCGGCCATGACTTGCGCCCCCCCCCCCTCTTGGACGCCCCCCTCTTGGCCGCCCCCAAGTGGGGTGTTCTCAGTCTGAGCGTGCTCTGGACACGTCCTCCTGGAGCGCGTCGAACTTCCCCAGCACCCGCCTCTTCAATCTAGCACCTCTTCTTCAATCGCTTCGCTCACTCCGCCGGCCCATTTCTGGGCACTGCTGCGTCGACTGGCCGAGTGGTCGTTGGCGGTGTTGACCTGCAGGGGCGTCGGCTGTCTTCTGCGGCGTTGCGTGGGGCATGATGCAGGGGCGATTCGTTTGGATTTCTTGGGAGTTGTCTTGGGAGTTGTCAGGGGAATCAGTCGCTTTTCACGGGGCGGCTAGTTGTGTGGTGCTTTGTTGGACTTCGGGTGCCTTCGTGGAGGTTTGCTGGTCGTGGATGCTCACTCTGGGGCTTGTCGGTGGGGCGCAGGGGACATTTGATGCAGCGGTGTCTGGGTCTCCTGGCAGGTGTCGCGGAAGCCTTTTGGAGGCAGTTTTGAAGCTTCTTGAGGCCTCGTCAGGGCCGTATGCCTGATTTTGGGCCTCTCGGAGGCTACTTGGGACTTTCGGGTGCTTCTTGGGAGCCTGCTGGCGGTCTCGGATGGGCCCCTGGGGTCGGACAGCTTCAAATGCCATTTCGAGTTCACTCTCTGGGGGCGTCTTGGGCCGTCCTGGAGCCCTCTTGGGCCGTCTTGGAGCCCTCTTGGGCCCTCTTGGGCGCATCTTGGGGGCATGTTGGGCCATCTTGGGGCGATCTTGGGGGGCTCTTGTGCAGTTTGGACGCTGTGAACATCCGAACGTGGTCTATGCCAGAAATGCACGTTTTCCCAAGGAAATTGCACGATGCTTGCTTGTTGGGGCCCTCTTGGAGGGCCTCTTGAGGCTCTCTTGAAGCTTCTCGGCGGCGTCTAGGGCCGTCTGGAGACCAGCATGGGCGTCTTGGAGCAATCTTTCGGCGACTCGGGGCTCCTTGGACCGTCTCGGGGGCGTCTCGGAGCCTTCTTGGCGCGTTCCTCGAGCGCTCTGGGAGGCCTCGAAGGTAGCGCCGAGGAGGAAAGCAATATATGAGCCGAACTGGCCGGGACCTGGTCGGGGTACTTGTCGTCCGGGATCCCCCAGAAGCCGCCCCGCGCGCGCGAACTAGAATATATATATATATATATATACATATATATATATATATATATATATATATGGATGCATATTGTGAACCAGTTGCCGGAGATCTTAGCACGCCTCTGGCGTGGTGGGCTGGACGAGTCCGCTGCCCAGGGGGGCACCTCCAAATTTCATGACGACCCCGGAGACACCACGGGATGCTCCAAGATTGCCACACGGCTCCCAGCTTGGCCCCAAGACGTGGTCCCGAGGGCCCCAAAGCAGCCCAGGAGAGCCCCGCTTGCTCCCAACGTCGCTTCGATGCATGCTCAGCGAAGCGAGTAGTCAGCTCAAGAGCGCCCCACGAGCCCTCGTTTCTACTTGCTCTGGAGGCGTCTTTCCAGTGCACGCAGGGTGTCCCAAGCACCCCTCCAGACAAGCCTCTAAACGGAGCGTCGTCGCCCCCACCATTCCCACAGTGCTCTGCATGTTTCTAACGCGAGGAGGAGCGAGAAGGAACAACGAAGTAGAGGAGATTGGAGGAGGTGTGCGATGCGGAGTAGATCGACATTCTTAGCTTCGTGGAGCTTGGATAGTATGTCTTTCAACTTCGTGTCGTCACCTCTGTGTACACTGTCCGTCCTCTGTGTGCACTTCTGGTAAAATTTACAATCGATTCTCCATGTGTATTCTATTTAGCGGCATCGTGAAACAGAGCCATTATGCGCAACCTTCACCGCGACGAGAAAGTTGGGTCGGTCTGCCTTGCGCAGCTCCTGGCGCAGATGATCGTACTCGGTCACATTCGTTGTTCTCATGCTGTTGGTGCTTCCCCACTGGCACCCCCATTTTCCACTTCGTGTGTCGCCAATGCGAGGACCTCAATGGTTTACGCTTCGCGAATCCCCGCCAGCTCATTCAGAAGCCCTGCCCACGAGAGCTGACTGGAAACGGAAAGCAGAGGCGCATATAGTGAAACAGAGCGGTCAACGAGAGGAGGGGGAGGAACGTGTTGAGCTACGTTGCAGGCTATCTTGGAGCGTCGAAGGTCTCCTTGGAGCTATTGGGCTTCTTGGGGGCGTCCTCTTGGGGCTCGTTGGGGGCATCTTGGGGCCCTCTTGAGGCTCTTTGGGGAGTCTTGGGTCCTCTTGGGGCTCTTTGGGGGCGTCTTGAGGCCCTCTTGGGTCCCCTCTTGGGCATTCTTGGGACTTTCTTGGGGCGCTCCTGGGAGCTTTGGAGAGCCCCCTGGGGCCATCTTGGAGGCCATCGGACCCCCTAAGAGCCCTCGAAGTCGCCTCTGGGGGCCCTCTTGGAGCGCTCTTGGGGCGATCTTGGTGGACACTGTTGGGGCCGTTTTGGAGGTCTCTTGGGCCCATCATGGAGCTCTCTTGGGCCATCTTTGGGCCATCTTGAGGCCTCGAAAGCGCATCGGAAGCGAAGAGGCGAGAAGGCCAAACTCATCGATTTCGATTTATGTTTGAAGGATGTTGGCTTCTCGGGGAAGTCCTGAGGGGTTTCCAAAAGCACTTGGATCCGTCTGGCCCTTTTGGGGCCTCTTGCAGGCATGCTGTTAACTATCTTGAGCCATGTTGGGCTATCTTGAGCGATCTTGAAGGCAAGTTTGGGCTCTCTGGGGCCATCTTGGAGCCATCTTGGGCCAAAAAGGACCCTCTGACACCTCGCGACCCCCCCCCCCCCGTCGAGGTCCAGGGGTGAGGGCAGGGGGAGGGGTCAAGCGTCCCAAGCCGTCTTGCTCACGCCCACCCGCCCTCCCAACACATACGAAACTTCCGGGAGTCAGCATGTCGCGTAAGAACGCCGGACACGCCACGGGTTCCAGATGCACCAGG